AAACAATCCGAAAGGATCCCTATGATTCCAAGGGTTACACACACACAACCCCCAATTCAGCACGTGCTGCTATCTATCTTCTCCCTTGTCTTTCTCCCAAAGACTTGGCACCTGGCTGAATCCCAGCAAAAAATGGACCTGCTTCACCAGCTGAGCTGAGCCCAAACACACAAATACGGCTGAGGCTGTCCCTTTTTCCAGTAGTGCCAGTTTCTTTGCATCAGTAGTGATGACCCTTTGCCTTCCACGCGTTGGCCGAAATGACCTGCGTTTTCTTTTTCCATACCTGGCACATCCAGGCACCCAAATTCCAGAGTCGAGCTGGTTGAGATTCCACAGTGGTGCCCTGACCCTGCGGAGATCCATGTTTTAAGGCTTATTGGGTTGTGTGGGACATGTTTCCACAGTGGTTGTTGGGACCTTAAGACTTAGAGCATGAATGCTGATTCCAGAAAACTGGCGGATCAACAAAGCCTCTGTAGAGTTCAGGCTTTCTGCTGGTCTTCTTTGGGAACGGCTTGGCCTTGGCGGGCATCCTCTTGGCGGAGCTGCCCTCACAGGCGTGTTCTTCTCACTCACTCTGTGGCGCATCGGACCGGCGTCATCCAACTGCTTGGCCTTGGCTGGATTTGGATGGAGCAAACCCGTCATCGATCCATCATCCACCTAAAATCTATTGGGATGTCAGATTTGGTGCGGATTTGGTGCGGTTACACTCCTCTTAATCCCTGGAGGCAGCTGAATCCCACACAAACTGGATCTCTAACGGTTGTAGATCCGGGTGGGTGCGAGAAAACTCTGTTTCTTTACGGGCGTGATCCGCAGCCGGTCGGAAGCTGGATGAAGTGGCCAATCGGATGTGATCAGGAGCTGTGGCCCATGCTTGCCAGCCTCATTGCAATCTTGCCCTTCAATGCGCTGGAGCCACTTGGGCAGCCGAGCGGTGACGGAGACAGCTGGGACGACTGGCAGAGGGTTCGGCCTCACCGGCGGAGCTTCACAAGCTTGTTCCTCGGGGATTTGAGCTTCACAAGTGTTCGTTTCAGAACATGTCTTTTGATGGTTTCTATAGTAATTAAGGGAGTTCCTGTGGCGATGTTCCGAGCTGAGCTGTTTCGTTTTTAGTTTTGCCGCACCTGGTTGCATGTTACATGGAGGGCCTTGTAGGTAAATTCGGGCAAGACTTTTGGTCACCCTTTTAGCCAAAGGTTCTCCACAAGGCAGTCCTTACCCTGCGTGTGGTGAAACACTGCATCACTGTATCACTATATCAGTAAACTTCAGCCGGTTAGACATTGACCATCATCACACCCACGGCTCCACATATCCAGCCGCCAACCTACTGCGTACTTGTAGGTTGCCGGGGCGGCGCGCAGAGTCACATCGGGTTTGGGTCATACTCAATTGGCCAGCCTGTGAATCCCAATCGGAGGCTCAGAGTTGCCCGGAGCAAAGTAAACAGTCCTTCAAAACCTTAGCATACAGACCCCCAAATAGATAGAAAAGTACATTCCCACTAAACATGTATTGGAAACCGTTTCTATCTATTTGGAGACCCCTATATATGCCTTGCGTTTCTACGAAGCCCACAAGCAGCTTCGGAGCCAGCCGCGAAGGTTGCTTTTCTTCGAGATGTTCCCCCCCAGCCGGCGGAGCGCGAACAAGCTGCGGATTTGGCGTCGCCGACACCCCAACATGAACATGGTGGTCCAGGTGGCGTTCTTGCTGGCTGGCTGGTGGTTTTAAAATGTTTTAAATATGTTTTTATCCGTGTGGCACACACACATACACACAGAGATGTACATGTTTGGCTTGAGCTCCAGTGGTTTGACTGTTTCATTCACGGCTGGGTGGCTATTCATTGGCATGAATGCATCATCCTGCATCCTCCCCATCATGCACGTCGAGAAAAGATAGAAAGTTCATGAAACTTGTGGCTACTTCTTGTTACTATTTACAGTAGTAGTAATGGCCTCCAACCTGCTAGCGATGGCCTCCACCTAGTAGCTTCTTGCTACTAGTAGTGCGTTTTCGCAAGTGCTTGTCCAGGTCACTGGAGCTGATCTTTCAGTTTCAGAAAGGCACAACTCCCGCCCAGTCGACGGCAGGCTGCGGTGGTGGGCTTGACACCGGACGCCTTGCAGCTCTACCGTGCACCCATGCAGCCGGGCGGTACCATGGTCAGCAGACCAGGGAGGGGTGACCTGAAGCAGTCTGAGGTCCGGTGACCTGCAGACAAGCCTGGGTCGCAGGATGTCTCATGGTTGGGTCCCTTGATGTCTAATGAACTCCAACTAGAGGAAGACATCATGACTTACTGAACAGGATCACGACGAGTGTGGCATGGATGACCTTGATGGCCCGTGGTGCATGCACCTAAATCCTCTTGCTTGATCATGCCATATTCTTTTTTGATCTTTTTGGGTGGGTCGGCGGTGGCACACAAGTTTGTTCCGAGCAGATTTTGCTGCACATACTCTGCTACTCGAGGTGACTATGACGACTATGACCAAATCTATCCCACCACAAAGTCCCGCCGTTAAAGGACCTGCGAACGGTTTTTCCTTTGACCAGCAGCTGGGCACACCCTGACTCCATCTGACCCCCTCATGTGGCACCAAGTGGAGAAAGGCCTACAACAAAAACACTCAAACCTTGGGTTGGTGAAGGAACCCTCCAAAAACGCCGGGGCACCTGGCCCTTCCTGCGCGGCCGGTGCTTTGAGGACGCCGCTTCACTGGTGTGGTGGGCCCCGCTCCGGAGTCGGGGGCGCCCACGGGCGCTGTGCGGAAGGTGCCGGGCACGGCGGAGCTGTGTGCTGTGCAGTGCCCGACGCTTGGCTCAAATCGGCAGACTTTCACACCCGCCAGGCTCGATCGATATCGATTCGGAGCTGTCAGGGAGCTGTCAGGTCTGGCAGTCCGTTGGTGCGAAAGAACGACAGGCCGTAGCTCCCTAGATCCCGAAAGGAGGATAATTAGATATAATTAGAATATAATAGATGAAGGTCTTCCACTACAAACTCGTCAGTCTTTTCAGGGTTCCTGCCAGTCTGGAGCAGGGTATGCCAGCTATGCTGCCTAAATAGATGTAGAGAGCATTTTGGTGCACATCCATTGGCAGTTAGGTTAGGAAACCGTGTTGAGACTGAGTCAACACGAAAGTGGAGCAGGTTCTCCGTGGAAGACCACCTTCCTTCTTTTTAATCCTCTATATTCAGGGATTTGCTCCAAATTTCCTTCATAGTGACAGAAATTAGGGAGAGGCGCCCGTGCTCAACAGATTTGGTCGGTACAGTTAAAGGTTCAATAGGCTACTCTTGTAGATAGATGGACAGATTGATTGACAGTTGATTGGCAGCGCTGGTCTTATTCTCATACTTGCACTGATTGAAACACTCGGATGCTGCACTACATGTTGATTTGTCATGAAGGGGATCAACCACGCCCCTTCACCGTTGTGGCTTCCTGGATCTTGACTTGCTGTACAGCGGTTTCAGAGTAGATGGCACAAACCCCTGCATGTCATTTTAGATGGGTCCATGCAAACCACCGACCATCTACTCCAAAACCACTCGCCTTATGGTGCTTTCCGCCTGCTCGATCTGGCCTCACGGGTCGGGGGTGGGAACCAGGCGGTATTTCCGCAGGGGGTGGCAAGCATTCATGGACTGTCCACCACAAAGTCTCCCCGGCCAAACGACGAACATCACTGTACATTCATGGAAGAACTGCACCATCAGTTTCTGTGAGTCCTGCTTTGACCTGCGGTGATTGGCCTCCAGTCACGAGGATGTGTCGGCAACTGTCGCCGATTCCTCGCATGGGCGACTTGTGGCGAAGCAGCTTGGCGCGACCGACTCGGTGGTCCCGGTGCCTAGCTAGCCATGTGATGGGATCCTCTATGGCCTGCGCAGGGCCGGTGAACACCCCTACAGGCCGTGCACCATAGTTCATTGATGAAGAAGTAGCCAACCCCAGCTCACCAGATCTACCACGAGCCAATCAGAACCCCAGAAGTGCCGAGGCTTGGAGGATGCCCGTCACGTTTGGCACGGATGCATGTGGAAAGTAGCACTTTTGTTTGGTGTTGTGGTGTTGGATCCACCTGTTTGAATCTGACCTTATCCCATGCAGGAGCGATCAGGAGAGAAAATGAACATATATATATATATAATATAATATATACATATCCTTATAAACCAGTTGATGCCCACTTTGCTGCGCTGCCCTCATTGAAGCGATCCTTGTTCGGATGCCTCGAGCTTAAACGGAGGATGTTGTTGACGTGTGGTGGGCCCTGGGCCGGCTATAGTTTACTGGGGCACGGCGCGTGTAAGAACAGGATGCCTTGGGTCTGTCCTATTCCCTGTAGCAGTCAGTAAACAATTATCACTATTTTTGAGCAAGGCCTTTACTAACCATCGTCATCCACTGCAACTGGTAATAGGATAGACCCAAGGTATGCCAACAGTACTGCCAGTATAACCTGCTTACATACACTAGTAGTGCCAGTGCGTGATATGGCAATAAGACCTTAAGACCTCTCAACCAGGCTTGCCAGAGGGGCTACCTGTCCCAGGCACTCGCTTCCTTCTCTACTGTCATTTGCCCCAGCTGGTTCTGGCCTCCTGGCTGCTGGGCCGTCGCCTTGCGGCTCTGGGTTCAGACCTGGACTATGGCAGAGCCGTGGCCTGGCATCATGAGGAGTCAAGATTGTTGGGTCAGGGCGGTTTTGGATCTGGATCTGACTCAAGTTGTTTTGGTGCAGACCAGAGAGAACACACACACTCTGACATTGGTTTTCAGTTACACTCAGTTCCCACGTTGAGAAGGAAGGCGATGGAACGGCATGGTGAAAGGTCCAAAGACTTGAAGGTGTTTTAACATTGAAGTTTCTCATCTGCAGTGGTGCGACGACGACGCGCGCGAGCGGCGAGGGAAAGGGTTTAGGGGAAGTAGCATGAACCACCATGGAAACAAACAAAGAAAGAGTGGAGTGACAGCTTGTACAACAGTTCGGCAGGTACGTTTGCAGCCCCCCCCAGTGGCCTCTTCGTTGGCCATCCGCCACTGGGGAGGGGGATGGCCCCCTGCCTTGTTAAGTGGTGGTAATGGAAACGGTGGCATTGGACCCTTTGGTACAGGGGGTGACACACACACATAGCCGTATTCGGCGCGGTCTCCCCTAGCAAAGTAGTAGTGAGGCCAGGGGCCTCCAGTAGCGTCCTGACTCCCCGAACATTTGTACAGAAAGCGCCAATTGTTGGCACAGCAAAAAACTATTAGTCACCTAAAAAGCCTAAGAAAGACAGACACAGCAAACAAAACAAAAGCAGACTAAGAGGGCAAGAAAGAAAGATAGGTGTAGTTACGAGGCCCACTTAGTTAAACGAAAGTAGTTTGCGAGCGGGACATTCGTCTTAAACCGCCCGGGTAGCTAGCAATAGACTAGGAGAAACAGAAGGAAAGGCACCAACACACAAGTGTGTTGAGTGCGATTTCCTTCTGTTGCTCAGTAGCGGGTGGGATAGCAGAGGAGGCCCAGGGGCAGGGAGGGGGTGCACGATTAATTCGTCCGGCCTGTGAATACTTAGCAGAGTGACATGGACTGGTGAATACTTAGCGGCATGTGGCAGACTGAGAGAATCCCGTTTTTTGGCCCGGCGGCCTTGGAAGCAGTAAATTCAGTTAAGGTTGATCAAGTGGTGAATTCCTGTGAGAAGTGGAAAAGCTCAGTTGCACGATTTCCGGCATGAATTCAGCGCCCCAGTGACGGGGATCACACTCAGCACCCGAGTGGGACGGCTGAGCGAAACACACTCTGACATTGGTTTTCAGTTACACTCAGTTCCCACGTCGAGAAGGAAGGCGATGGAACGGCATGGTGAAAGGTCCAAAGACTTGAAGGTGTTTTAACATTGAAGTTTCTCATCTGCAGTGGTGCGACGACGACGCGCGCGAGCGGCGAGGGAAAGGGTTTAGGGGAAGTAGCATGAACCACCATGGAAACAAACAAAGAAAGAGTGGAGTGACAGCTTGTACAACAGTTCGGCAGGTACGTTTGCAGCCCCCCCCAGTGGCCTCTTCGTTGGCCATCCGCCACTGGGGAGGGGGATGGCCCCCTGCCTTGTTAAGTGGTGGTAATGGAAACGGTGGCATTGGACCCTTTAGTACAGCGGTTGACACACACACACATATATATACATATACTTAGTTTCGCAAGATTGTTGCTGCAATGTCTCAGATGAAGACATCACTGCAACGCATTTAGATTTGCATAAGGTTCTTGGTCAACGGCGTAGGTTGGTTTCTCCATAGGTTGTGGATTATTGTGGGCCCTTTAGCATCAAATGCTGCAAACTGCACAGACTTTGTTGTGTAGGCGCCTGTGGTCAGCAACATTGAGGTTGCACGCAACCGAACAGTGTTGGTTTGCTTTGGCACGGCTGAAGACTTGCGGCCTACCTACCCCATTGGGGATAGGAATTGAAGGTCACTGTAGGCTTTGCTTGAACACTCGAGTAAACTAACACCCACTTGTAGAGGAAGAGGACTTGGCACTCTGGCCGTGGCTCGAACTCAAAACCAAACCGACCCACAGCACTCCACCGTGCCAGGCTATACATGGTGGTGCTGTAGCAGCCCATGCCATTCTGGTGTTTTGGATCTTTGGCTATTGGATCCTCTACAGCTGCTCGCCCTGGATCTCAGAAGTAGAGCATGAACACGACACGTCTCGACACGTCTCGCAGCATGAGTTCAGAATTCGGACGAAGTCACTGTGCCACCAAGTGCCGAACGCCAACGTCCACAGAGACAGGAATTCACACCAACTGGATGCGGGCGATGCCAATCCCGGGCTTCTGCGGTTCATCGCCCTCGGCCGGAAAGAACAAACCACCGTTTCAACCCTTGGGCTTCCGAGCATTGACTTGTCCTTATGTCAGCTCCGACCTTCGACCGGTGTTTTCAGGCCGCCGGCAAAAATTGGCGTTTTTGACCGGCGGCTGTCGGCATTTAGAGCCAACAGTTGGGATAAAACTCTTACAACCCAGCCCAGTCTATGAGTCTATGGCGAAACCTGTCCCTGAACAACTGACAGTCCGAGAGACAGATGTGGGCTTTCATCAACAACCGAGAAGAACTTCTATTTGTGCGGAGCGAGGGCACTTGACCTGCCCCCAAGGATGTCGCCGTCGCGCCCAGCAGCTCAAAGTGGCTGACCTTTCAGCAGCCACTTGGCCAAGATGAGCTAAGCCTAATGACCACCGGCGGGTATCCCAGAAGACCACCGGGCATCCCAGGTTCTAAGGTTCACGAATCAGCCAAAGGAACTTCTGCCAAGGAAAATGGGTCCGAGCGGTTGTGCGTGTTTGGGCCACTTTGAGCCCTGCCAAGGAGTTAGATGTGGACACAGTGAAGCTGAGATGGGAGGGCATTCAAGAGGCTGGGTTGCAACGAAAAAACAGCAAGGGGAGGTGACAGCTGGGCCAAGCTGTAGATAGCGTGAGACCAACGACCAGGTTCAAACGCAGCAAGCAATGGAAGCAAGCTAGTGGGGCCACGTCTCCATCACATATTTACCCCTGCGGATTGTTCCGCCGGCCCTTTTGGCTGAGGGGGGGGGGAGGGGGGGGAAGTTAGACTTGTCAAAAATCCGCGCCGTGGGTACAATTAGACTAAAAACAAAACTACTACCTAAGATAGCATACAAACCAATCACCTAAAACACGCCGCGCCCAAGGGCCGGCGGATTGATTTGCAGGCCACATCTTTATGCATCTTCCACAGTTCCGGTTGATTTCTACTGTACTCCCCCTTTGATCTGATATACTGGAGCAAAGGAGCTATATACATGGAGTTCCCCCCCATTGACTTGCCAGTAAACTAGACCCTCTTCCAGACACGCTCATGTTGACACCACAGACCCTGCATCGCACACCTCACCTCAAAAACACCCATGGCCGGAGGTGCTTTGTGAAGCCTGGTTCGTGGTTTTTCACAGCTTCGATCGGAAGAACATCCTCCGCAGCTGGGATCGCAGGGTCGACACGTGGGCAGCGACGCCCTCCGTCCACATCCGGGTGTGCGGTGTGCAAATTAGCAGTCAGAGCAGTCAGGATGCCTCTAAACCCACTCCGAAGGAATGTCCTGTAACAGCACCTTCCCCTTCAAAGAGGCATGTGCCTGGCATGTGCGCAAAGACCAACCCAAGAGAAGCATCGCTGCATCACACAACTTGTTCAAGTGACTTCTTCAAGAGTGCAGCTGGGCAGCCCAACCGGTGAAGACGGACCTGAAGCTTGACGACTGGGTAGCAATGACCACTGAATCCTTGGATGCTAAAATGTCGATGTGTTCCTAAGAGCCGTTCGCCATGAGATGGGGCCGAGGTATTGAGATGCTGCCTTCGGAGCCCCTGAACCAGCTACCTTCCGATCCTGCTTTAGAGCCCTTTGGCTGGGTTGGCAAAAAAAGGCAGGAGTTTGGTGACAAACTACAGAAAGTCAGAAAGACACAACAAGGAAATCCGAAGCCACAGAGAAAAAACAGAAAGAATCCGAAAGCAAGAAAGAGCAAACGAGAGAACATACAGATAGAGTAAGAAAAGACTTAAAGGAATATAATATATATATATATAGAAACTGATAGAAAGAAAAGAAAAAGAGAATGGACCAGAAGGGACTAAAACATGAACGAAGGAAGTAATGATGGATTGAGGGACGGAGGGTTCGAGGGACGAGAAGACAAAGACAAGGAAGCATAGCACAACTCAAAAATGAAGATATCCATAAAAAACTTATCCATTTGTCGCCAACCCAGGTTACACGGCATTCCTTCGGGCCACTTCTGGATCTCCGTGCTCTCCTGGCACCGCTCGGGCGGGCTATCGATGCCTTTGGCCATGGGCCACTGCAGCTTTGACCGCACGGCCGGGGGCAGAGAAGTGCAAGGAGGCATATGTATTTTCCTCTTGGCAAATGGCTTGAGCAGGGGGCCTGAAGCATGCGAGCAAAGCCATACGTGATGTATGAACAAAATGCACCACATTAGACTAAAAAAGCAGGTCGCCGGCTTTCTGTGTGGTCCGGGAGTGCCCAGCATCAACGAGGTGAAATCCCTGGGAACGAGGAGGAGGAGGAACTCAAAGGTCCGCGGAAGTCTTGCGTGGACGCGCAGACTGAGGCGTACCCTAAGGCCAGAGTGGGAGCTTGGGGTTTTGGCTGAAGGGTTGGGATGGGACGGTGGGGCAAGTTCCGGGTTAGATGATCTTGGACTACCATATCCCATCAACAAGGTGTTTTGGAGATTTCAAGACCCAGTGACCACATTTGGTAGGGCACAAATCGGCTTGGGCCAAGGGAGTCCCTCCACTTTTGTTTGTCCAACCGAAAAAGGACCAAGCATGGCTCCATGCGCTCCATGCTCCGCCCGGGACGAGGTGCACGACGTGGGGACGGATCCGTTGCATGTGCTCCGGCCGACGGCCGACGCCGAGTGCCAGAACGTGGCAATCTCCGTGGACGCGGTGCCCTGGCGAAGCTGGACAGGTGTCCACACCGGTGGTCCCTCCGTGGAAGACTCTTTGGTCTTTGATTCATTAAAAACATATATAAACCGAATCAAGCGCCTCTCATTTGGATCGAGAAACCTCTGCATACATATGGTTTCCCTCCATGGAGGGGTTGAAGGTCACGAAAGGTAGCCCTTTAGGGGATACCTTGAGTTTGTCTTGCGAAGCAAGTGTTGGGACGTCCGGGTCTAATAATTGATCGCTCAATTCAGACCCCCCCCCCCACCCCC